GTAGACTTGCCGCGGTCAGGGGGGCATGGCTTCGTGCCATATGGCTCCCAAAGGCCTCCATTTTTTGGCGGTACGATCTAAGGGGGTTCTGAACAGAAAAAAAAATAGTGCATTGTACTTGCCCTCCCACCGTTTATTTTATGCCTTTTGTTTGAACTTCGATATGCCATTTCACTCATTGAAATTTGAATGCACTCGTGAGTGTAATCACAGAGCGTAGACTCGGATAAATGGGCTATGAGCCATAAGTTGGTCGAGGCTGCTGAGAGCTACTTGTTCGCAGAGATGCAAAAATCGAGTTTCGCATTGAACCGGAACCAACCGGAGCCTTGATCCGAGCGAGTCCGGCGTGGCGTCACAACGTCTTCCGCAACCACTTTCACCTCCAGAATACTGCTTGCCAGCAGACTCCGTACTGGAAATTGGAATCCTCTACAGCCCTCTCGAGTCTCGACCGAATTCTCCAACGCGAAACTGGAGGCCTGAAGCCCGGCCTCGACTCCAAACTTCAAAGCTTATGCCGCTGCACTGGCAGGGCCAACATCACCAAAAGTGTCCAAAGCTGGCAAGGCCTCGTGACTTTGACAAGGCCCATCAAGCGCGCTCCAGGGCTTGGACGCGTCTCGCAAGGCCCTTCCAAGGCCTTTCCTAGCCTTGGACCTCCTCGCCAGAATTTCCCAACCCTTGCCCCGCCTCGCAAGATCGGCCGCGCGGCCCTCAAAAGTCGAGCGCGCCCAAGTCCTCCTTCGTCGCGTCTTCCACTCCGACCACCACCACGCATTTCAATGTCGATTTCACCTTCCTCCCTTATACTTCGACCCTCTTCTGGTCTCAACCCACCCTCTTGGCCGGCGATGTGGGAGCTCCACGTACAAAATGGGCCGCCGGGAGTGCCATCGACAGCGCCGCCAGGAGGCATAAAGCGCTGCTGGTACGTTCTATTCATTCACTCAGATGCATTCCCCAGTCCTTCGACGTGCCCTCCCCTTCTTCCCGTTCCATTGCGGCCAATTGCGTGAGGTACGCGCTTGTCGATGCAGGCAACTTTCCACTCCCGCTCGACCGCGCAGCGCTCACGCCCAACGCCCCACCGCAACCGATCTTCGCGCTGTCGCTGGGGCAGGCCTGCTGCTGGTGGGTTGCGGAGACAGCGAAGTAGCGCAGCGAGCCCCAGATTTCGCGGGCCACGTCCGCTCCCTTTGGTGGAAGGTTGCCGTCGTCTCTTCCCAGTCGACCTCAGTATTCGCTGTTCGCCCACCCATATCTCTTTCCCCTTGATTGATGATTGCTTACCTCCAATTCTCAGACCACCCTCACTCAAGCCATCCAGTCTTCATTGGGACTCATTTAGTGGTCAAACCTGGTGCGATCCCATCTTATATCTTGAGCGATACCCTCCCTCTCCAGCACTTACTCAGCCCCGTCCCTCCTTCCCTTCTCGGAACCGCCGTCAAGCCATCTCGCCCTTCTTCCTCGAGACCAAGCCTCAGACCCGTGCTCGTGACAGCTTTGGCGAGGGAGACGCCAGCATCGCACAGGCGGGCGCTCGACCTATTCCGCGAGGCGCGCGCGCGCTCAACTTCCGGAGACGCGCCGGTTCCGATCGCGGGTGCGCGCGCTTCGAAGCCAAAGAAGACGGTTACCTAGGCGTTTGATGACGAGGTCGAGTCTGGGCAGTTCATCGGGCGCGTTGTCCCGACGAGGTAAATGTTAATTAGCGCGCATATATCCAACTAATCGCACTCATTCCATCTCGAGATCCTCGATTGTCTCCCTCGCTAAGGTAAGGTTTTTTATCGTAGTTATCCTGGCTGACACTCCTCAGGCGTTCGATTGACAACATTCTTGTCAAGCGCTCATTCCCCACGGCAACCGCTTCCATCGGAGCCAAAGGTACTGTCCGTTGTCCTCTGTGTATTCTGCTTACCTACCTTTCGCAGAATGGCGTTCAGAAATGCTACCAACCTCTTCCAACGATGTTTCTTGCCGAGTGACTCTTGTAGCGCCGCGCACGCCGTCTCTTCCGCAACTAAGGCGAGTTCTTTCACCTAGCGAGGTGAGCATCGTGACCCCTGCATTTATCATATCGCTGCGACGGACATTGAAACTCCTAGGTTCGGTAAGCATATCCCCTTTGATTATTTTCGTAAACTCTGACATCACCTGGATTCTTTCATTTTCCCGTGGTACAGGTACGCACACCTCGCCTAGTTGCATGTATCCCAAACTCACAATTTCTGTCAGATTTCGAACTCTAACCTCAAAATTGTACCGCAAGTAAATATCTATGTCTTCGCCTCTCCAAGTCAGGTTCTTCGCACATGGACCCAATTCGTAAGTGTTCCCTTCAGCGCCATTTTCACTTGCTGACGCTGCGGTACGTTTTGACTCGATAATCCTGCTGGTGAGTTAAATGTACTCCGTGTCATTTGCGTTACTTACTCCGCATATTTATTGTAAACAGCCTGTCTCTCGTTCAAGGCGTCTTTCCTCGCTATCAGTATCAACTCCTTGTCGCGCGACCGCCCTCGGTAAGCATGCCTTTTTAAGTCTTTTGGCGACATCTTGCATAATTGAGCCATCTTTATAGCGTCGCTGCCCTCGCGCATCAATAACTTGTCTTTGTGAGTCTTCTCGCTCATATGGTCTCCTTTGTACTGACCAATTTCAACCGCAATTCTTAGTCATGCACACTTAGCTCGTCCTTATTCTTGTACTCCCGTTATTTGATAATAAAATTGTTTTTCTCGTCTTTATTTGGAATGACAGGAATTGGGAAGGAAGGCCTGGAGCGCCGTTGCAAGGGCCCCAAGGCCTTCCAAGGGCGCTCGAGGGCTTCCAAGGGCACTCAAGCCCGGGACGCCCTTGCGTGGCCTTGTGAATTTGAAGAGTGCCTCGGGAGGGGTGCACAGGCCTTGGACGTCCTTGTGAGGCCTTGGGACCCTTCCAAGGGGCTTCCGAGGCCCTTGGAAGGTCCTTCCGCTTTTGGTGATGAAGATCCACCGTCGTGATCCTGCTCACAAGCTGAGGGCCCTGGCTCACCTGCGTCTTATTCCGATGTTGGCGTGCACCAGACCCTCACACTGAACATTCCGCACTGGCAGACTCACGCGTGATAGGACGGTGCTTTGTTGAACGTATAACTTCTGCAGAGGCGGCGACGACGCGCTTACAGAGACCAGAATCAGGTACCCTCATCCGTCCTCGCGCCAATATAATAATCCAGGCCTCTGAACGAACTCTCCACTGGCACATGTACGTTTTTTCCGCTCAGCCTCGGATCGTTTTGCTACCAGATATTTACAGCTTGGGAAGTTGGATTCTTTCGGTTTAAATGAAGGCCGGCGTGTTCGCGCGTGGTTCGAATAGAGTCTGCCATCCGCGAAACGATGAAGATTCGACGGTGTCAAAAAAGCGAAAATGTTCGGCTCATCTATAGACAGTCAGTCCTGCAATCCACTCTCCCCGCCGAACTCAGTGATTAATTATTACATGTGCTGGCGCACCACAGTCCGGTCCACAGGCTGAACTCCGGCCCCTGGGCGTCCGATAGCGTACCGCTCTCCTTGGATCCTTCCTTCCCTGCAAATAATTTCAACACACCCGAACTCCGGCTGGATTGCGTGCTCTACCTATCTGTCTCTACACATAGCAGCGATTCAAACCCGTCTTGCAAATCCATGTGGCACTATCGCCTTACAACTCGTGTCCCCGCCTATCCTACCTACCTACGTGCATTCCCCGTTGGTTTAATATGCCACAATTTCAGTCCCTCTCACCTCTTCCCCCCTGTAATTATGCATACACGTATGCGTCCACCTTGCAGACAAAATGAATATATCGTCCGTCCAAAATAAAAGACGGGGGGGAAAAAAATGGGATACCGAAAATCACCCGACCCCGAATCGAACAGGAGCCGTCTGCCTAAACTTCTTTGAGCTCATGGAACAAGTCTCAGACGCACACCATGCGCCATCGGGTGTATGTCCTCCACATCCAATTATGGGATATGTGGTATTCTTCGGCATGAAGCTGGACACAACCACGTCAAGCGTTCTCAAACTCGACCCTTGCCGATACCTCCGACATCTCCGCCAAAAGAAGGAAGAAAAACAATCGAATAATCTCCCTAGTTGTAGTTTCTCTACGTACAGTAGATAGCTCAAAAAAAATCCAACTCGGACGAAATAAAGACCAGGAGAGAACGGGCATCACCCGACCCCAAATCGAACGGGGACCTTCTGCTTAAACTTCGTTCATCAGGGGCGGCTATGAAGTAACAGACACACACCATGTGCCATCGGGTGCATGCTCTATCTCAGGCAGGAACTTCAACCAAGTTAAGGCTCGGCCTCCGTTCAACTTTACAACCAACAACTTGGCTTGGGTTGGCGGTTGGCTCGGAAGAACCCTCCTCTCGTGTCCCCGCCCTCGCCCTCACAAAATCCGGGACCGCCAAAAGGAAAAAATAATCGAATAATTGAACACCGGTTAATGAAATGCGGGATACAAACTCGACAAGGCGATGTATGTATGCATAATGGATGGATAAATACTCCGTTGCGTTGCGTTGTGTATTATGGATGCATTTTAAGTTGTATAGGATTCAGACGGACTTGTCCTACGAAACGAGAGTCAATTGGGGAATCGCCACTCAGATAATAATAATAAAAAGGGACGCCAGGATGGGTGATCGCCCGACCCCGAATCGAACGGGGACCTTCTGCATAAATTCTACACTAGGTTCTCAAAGACAGCAGACGCACACATTGTGCCATCAGGTGCATGCTCTCCGCATCCTCAATCCACGTCTAATATACTATGTAGCCCACAACGTAGATCGACGAAATAAGAAAAAGCAGCAACTCTTTTCACCGCGAAGGAGTACTTGGCAGACGCACATCCCTCGTTGTCCTTTATCCACATAGCTAGATAGAAAAAAAAATCAAAAAATCAAACCGAAATCGAAAGAAAGAAAAAAGAACATGACGAAAGGACAATCACCCGACCCCGAATCGAACGGGGACCTTCTGCTCAAACTTTCTTGAATCATCATTGAAAGATAGCAGACGCACACCTTGTGCCACCGGGTGCATGCTCTACACACCCCATTTCAAGATACAAGGTATCCTTCGGCATGAAGCCGCACACAAAAGTGAATAATCACAAACTCACTGTAATCAGTTCAACTCTCCCGGCCGCAGCAAACGTTCTTAAACTCGACCATTTGCCACTAACCTCCTCTCCACCAAAAAAAAAAGGAAAAAAAATGAAATAATCTCCCTAGCTGTAGTTTATCTACGTACAGTTAGCTCAAAAAAATACAACTCGGAAAATGGAAGTAAAAAGAATGCTGCAAAACTAGCATCACCCGACCCCGAATCGAACGGGGCCCTTCTGCACAAAGACCCAAGAACGTTACAAAGAGGTAGCAGACGCACACCATGCGCCACCGGGTGCATACTCTACACACCTCAACATCAAGATACGAGGTATGAAGCCGCAGCGAAAAGCGTCATTGCCGACTGAATAACCTCGTATCCTGAACCCGATCTCTAGTTCCAGCTCAGCTCTACCCCGACCGCGTCAAGCGTTCTCGGCCCCGACTGGTGACTCCACCAAAATAAAGATAAAATCGTATAATTGCAACACCGGACACAGGATAATTGATAATGAAGGATACAAACTCGACGATGATTGTAGGTGATGCATAAATGTATGTGTTGTGTTGTGTTGTGTGCATTGCGATGCTGTAGGTTGTGCGTAGGTTGATTTTTACTTGGGAATGAGACCAGAGGAATGAGACGAGACGGGAGTGGATGGATGGGACGGGACGGGACGGGACTGAGATGGGACGGGATAGGTTGGATGGACGGGACAGGTTGGATGGATCGGGCGAGGGACGGGACGATAGGGATGAATACTACCACTCGAACTCCCTGTGCGCGCATTCGTTCCTCAGTTAAAAGCAAGACGAAGAGCGGGCAAACACGCACCCCGTACACCGATTAAACAAATAGTCCTTCCCCCCGCTATGCACCACGCCGTCCTTGAGCACGCACTTCCACCTATTCTTGACGCGCACGACCTTGTCGTACGTGCAGAACACGATGTCCGTCTCGGGCCCGCCCTCGGCGTCCGCGGCGTCGTCCTCGTTCTCCGTGTCCGAGTCGTCGAGGTCGCTGGTGATCGCCGAGTCGTCTGCCTCCTGTTGCGTCGGCGTGGGTGCAGGGGGCGGGGCGAGGGAGGGGTGCGCGGGGCGCGGGGGGTACGCGCGCGCCCCCGCCGGCTCGTCGTCTTCGTCTGAGGAGGCAGAGGAGGCGGAGGGCCCGTCGGTCTGCGGGAGGCGGTAGAGCCCCGCGTGCTGCAGGCTCGCGGGGAACGCGGGGAAGCCGCTGCCGATGCCGAGCTGCGGGCCCGGGAGCGGGGGGAGGGCGTACGCGGCGTAGCGCGCGTCGGCCAGTCCTGCACCTGCGCCTACGCCGCCGCCGCCGACCGCGCGCACGTCGACGGGCTCGGTCTTGACGGTCACGCCGCCGGGGGCGCGCGGGGCGGAAGGGGGGACGTACGCGGCGTAGGGCGGGAGGCCGCCGACCGCGGACGTACCGGCGGAGGCGGAGGCAGTCGGGCGGGCAGAGGCGTGGGCGAGCGCAGCGGTGAGCACGCCGAGGGCGGCGGCGGCAGTCGGGGCGGGGTACGGGTGGTGCGCCTGCGCGGGCTGGGCGGGCTCAAAGTCGGCGACGCGCGACGCGATGACCTTCGTCTCCCATTTCTGCGCTCGCCTCATATCAGCACAGACGCATATGGGAAAGAGGGGAGGGGAGGATGCGTACGTGCTGGAGCTCGTCGAGGACGTCGTCGGCGACGCCGAACTCGTCGAAGGCGGGGCGGATGGCGGCGATCACGTCGTCGATGACCGACCGGTAGATCCCCGGCTGGCGGGCGCGGTCAGCGCTAGGCGGCGGCGAGGAAGAGAGGGCAGACTCACGACGATCTTGTTGGACATGGCGGTGGTGGTCAGAGGAGAGCGGCCGACGCCGCGCACTCTGATCGCGCTTAGTCACAACTCCATAACAAATCCCCTTTGTTTCCGCTTTTTGAACTTGTTCAAATTTCGATTCATGCAGGCCCTTGAGCGCCCTCGCCACCGCGCACGACGCGCAACGACATTATCGTTATCGACGCGCCCGGGCGCCTACACCGCGCGGACCCCGGACCGAGACTCCACGATGACCTCATCGCGCGCTCTTGGTGGTCAAAGGAGACCCGCAGCGCGGCCGACCCGGCGCACACTACTCGCGCTTAGTCACATTCCCATAACAAACCTAGGCATCTGTCTACATTCGCCCACTGGTGCGGCAACAGCCTAATCTTGGGCCATGATCTTCGGGGCTATCCCTAGGCCTCTGCCCACCTTCACTGCCAACGGGCGAACTCGGCTATACCGATTGCTTCTGCTGCGGCGGTTACGTTTCAATGCACGGACCGCAATATCTTCGCTTCCCACTATACTGCTAAGACCGCTACGGCGCGCAGGACAGGCTGCACGGTACTCGGCACTGAAGCCTACATTGGTGACCTGCCTCCCAAGGAAGGGCGGCTGCTCTATATCGCATGCATGGATCCGCACCTAGCTGGCGGGGCCGACGTCATTATCGACGGACGACAAGGCTCTCGCACATCTGGAAAGGTGCAGCGTGCCTTCCTACGCCGCCTCCCGGGACTTAGGCCTACTCCATACGCGCGGCGCTACCCACTGAACTACGGCTACCCTCTACGCTCCCGTCGGCGTGACATCGCCCTACGCTCCTTCTGTCACTTGCAGATACCCACCATGCTCGTGCTGCGCTGCGCGACGCCTACCCACTCTATCTAGCGGGCAAACAAGGCTACTGCACGGATGTTACTGCAGAATCTGCCAGCCCCAACAGAGCTGCCTCCGCTGCCCGCACTTCCACCAGAGAAATGCGTCGGGCTCCGCATAGCGGCATTAAAGCAGCGGTGTCTGCTTCTCCGCCTCTATATATATACTCCACGATCGGAGGACGAACCGGCAAAGATTACAGCGCTGCGCCGCTACCTGGTCCCGGTGGCCAACCCACAGCGCCGGAAGGCTCTAACCCTGTTCGTACGATGCAGCCCAGACTTACTTATCTGGCTTCATGGAATGCGGCGCGCACATCGATATTCCGCAGAGATGCGTGCAAGGCATTCGCGCTTTTTGATGCGGTCCCCAGCGTAGGTCTGCTGCTCGGCACAACCCGGAGCTCCCGCCCTGAAAACGGGCGAGCTCGTCGATGTGTGGCGTAACACAGTGCATTTTTAGGCCGATGGACTGTAGTTACTAGTCACTAGTTACACCCCTGTTCCGAAATGGGACCGCGCTGGTGGATGTTATCCAGTAGCATTATATTCTGACACGAGGTCCCAGCGCTGCAACGGCCCCCGTCCTGCGTCCACAAGGTATAAATGTATGCTAGAGCCGGCACGGACAGCACACATTTCGAGAGCTTCGAGTTCGAACAGGTTGTGCGATCAATAGTGCCTCGATGATTCCCTGCCATTCTCACTGCGGGGCGCAGAAAGTCTTTAGACATCTAAGCTCCCTAACTAAGGTCAAATGTTGAATTGGAAATATTTATCAAGCAAAAGTGAAAGATTGGCTGCAAAAGAAGTACCGCGCGCTGTTGAGTCTGTTCGCCGTGAAACTAATACTGAGGGATTTGCAAAATGCACTGATCTCGAAAGGATTGAACAGACAAGGATGTGCAGACTGGAAACATGAATGAAAATACAAGGGGTGGCGCCTCCAAAGTAGATGAGAATCGGAAGGATTCGGTGATCGGATCAAAGCGGGTGGGCGCAATTTTGAGGTTCCAGATACCTTGTCAAGCAAGGTAATATGATGGGTGATTGCAGAAATTTGGTGACACCTAATTGGGATCGGCAACGGTAAGCGAGCAGTAGCCGACATCCAGAGAATGCAATACAGAGCTGAGAACATCCGTTTTTCGGGGGGGGTACATTTTCTGGAACTCCTATCTACATATTCTGCAGGCCGCTGTTCAACGCTGAGGAGTTTTTCTGCCTCGGACATGGGATTTGTGCATTCAGACGGCCATCTGGTCACATCAGTCACTGGCGTCGGTTAAAAACGACGAGAGATTGCAGAAATCTGGCGGTCAGTTTTGGCGGCTGCAAATATGCTCTAGAGACAAGGATTTTTCGCGGGCTCAATGGGAAGCTCACCGATGTTTTTGGAGAATTTAAGATGAGATACGACTGTGTCCCGAACATTTCTCTTGCAGGTTTCTTGGGGAGGAATTGATGGAGTGATGGACTCGGCGCTCGGGTTTTATTCGGATCTGTATTTTCAAACTCCGGGGCACCTTGTACTGGTGAATCCAAGCCTTAGCCTACCACCGCCTAGTCCTCTCCTACTTGCCTACTCCCCGCGATGCCCCTCTTCAAGCCGCGCCCCAGCTCGCCCGACGCCGACTTCGTGCACGTCTCCCCGCCGTCCCCGCCGACGCCCCCGCCGCGCCGCCCCGCCGCGCCCCCACCCTAGTCTCTCTTGACAGACTCCCTCGCTCGTTCCTCGTTCTGAACCCCCACCCCGCCGCTCGGAGACCCGCAGTGCGGCCGAAGCGGCGCACACTGATCGCGCCTAGTCACATTTCCATAACAAACCTCCTTTGCTTCCGCCAAGTTCTCGTTGAAATTGATTAATATCGATTCTCGTAGGAGACTGCGATCCGCTTACCCCGGCTTCAATGACACCGAACTGCTTGAGCTGTCAATCTTTCTTAGGCTGTAGAGCACACCTTACTGCTCTACAGCCTTACGAACTTGTTACGATGCTGGCGCTGTTCTCTTGTCAAGTTATCTTTAGGTCCTTTGGCGCATTGGACGGCAAAAATGACGCTCACCCCGGCTTCGATGGAACTGAACTGCTGCTGTTAATTAATCTAATTGTGCCCCATGTCCTCTCCTTCAATGGGCGTTCTCCAGGCGCCTATTCCGACTTCTCCAGCGCTTCGCGGTATTGGCAGTGACTGACGACCGCAAAAGCCACCGAACTCGTATATAAGCC